GAAGACGGGCGGCGACGGCGGGCGAAAATGGATGAAGGCGATGGCGGGCCAGAAATGAAGAGAGAGAGAGGAGAGTGTGATTTTAATTAGGTTTTGGTGGTTACGTTTGTTTTATAAATATTTAGTTATTTTATAAATTAATTTTTATAATATTATTATTAACATTAATGAAATATAAAAAACCTATATCTATATATACAATATCTGATTTTTGAAACTTAAACCTTAAAATCTGATTTTAGAATTTGAATCTCCAAAAGTAGGGAATTGGGTAATTTTCACTTTAATTAATAAAGTGGCCCATTGCGGCCTTGAATCCCTTCCCTTCCCGGCTTCCCCAGTTCCCCCCAAGTCTCACAAATTCATTAGGCGACGGTGGGTGGGAATTGGGATTCCAAATTCGAATAACCGATTTACCATATTTTGAAAGATGAAGAAGAAGAACGGATTGAAAATTTGAAGAAAGTTTTGTAAGTTGAATCAATTTCGAAATGAATTCGTTATCCACGCTACCTCGCTTCTTGCATACGTCTGGCATTTCAAGTTTTAATTCCTCTGATTTAAAGGCGCCCACCAGGTGTTCGGTTTTTTGCTTGATATATAATGAGATGATTTGGACTTTGGTTTCTCTCTTTTTATTTAAATCTTAGTTGTCTTTGCTGAATGCTGATGGTATATAGCTAATAAGAAATACTAGAAACTATATATTAATTTGATGCAAAGAAAAGAAAAGAAACTATAGATTAATTTAGGAACTGCGCTGGTATATCATATATGACATAAAAAACAGGAGCCTCTGCCTTTTGCGGTTACTGAATACTACGTTTTGGGCCTTTTTGCAGCTATTATTGTTCTGCTGTGTGCCTTCTCATTTCCCTTTGGTAATGAAATGTGCCCTTTGATATTCACTTCGCTTCGTGTTTTTTCTTGATTTTAGTTTTTTGGGTTCTGGATGAATCCACCTTCTCTTCAACAATTAGTCCCTGCACAGAACTCATTTTTTTAATATGTAATTCATACCACGAATTAAGGCATTTTGTAACATTTGGTATGAGATATAATAGTGGCTATTTCTTCTAGAAATGCTTTAGGAATAAAATTTCAGCATTAATGGTGGTGCTGTCGGGCTCATCAATTTCCCAATCCAAAATGAAACCATATTCCTAAGAATTTAGGAAAATATTTGAAGCTTTTATATTTCCATGTACAAAATTTCCACCACACACTGTGAGGATATGAGCGATTCCTCGTGTTGTACCAATTGCAATTCTTAGTTGGCTCTCCCAATTGAAATGAATTCTATTTCCTTTGCTTCTGCCTACACATTATGATTATGAATTCAATTGGAGTTGTTTCAGAACAGTACAGTTGTGATTAAACATTCCATGTAGCATGTTGGAAACGCTCTCTTGCTTGTAGTGATCATATAGAATGAACTTATATTCCTTGGAGAAGTGGAATCCCCTTGGCATAACCACATTCTTGTGCTTGATATTGCCCAGTAAGTTCGTCTGCTGCTCAAATCCGATTATTGAAACACTCACTTGACTCACTTCTCTCAAATTCTTTACAACTCTTGTTTGTCCATTTTTTAGCTCATGTTTGATATACATTCTTTTAAAACTCATGTTCAACCACACATTCTTCAATAAAATAATATTTTCCATCACATCAATAATTTTTCCTTACTTTTTAACAACATATTTCCCATCATAACATTATTTAAAATACATTTTTTCATCAATAATATCCATTAAACATACCCTAAATATGGAAATTGCTAGGAACTTTTATATTCAAAATAATTATATGAATGCATGCTATTTAGAAATTTCGAGGAATGGCGTCAAAAGTTTTCTTCATATTGATTTGAAAGACAAATGAATGAATTAGTTGAACACACTCATGTACATATTGTCACACGAGAATGTTGGTTATTACGTTTTTATTTCAGAAATATTTATTTTACAAGATGGATGAGAGCAGATAAGGAAACTTCAATGGGAAGCCATGCAAGCCAAGGAAGTACCTGTGTTTCGCAGAGCATGAGACGAACTTTAGAATTTGAGCTCGTAAATCATAACAAGTAAACAATTTTCTTATTTATAAGAATTTTATGGTACTAAATTTGTTAACTTAAAATTAATAATAAACAACAAATAAAATGAAATATTCAAATTATTTATATTATAATCAAATAACAATGCAAAAATGTTATAAACAGTCATTTAAATACACTAACTGAAGTCACTCAAATCACTTAAGAGCTAACACTAACTGAAATTTGAGTGTAAAAATGCATTCAAATTAGGTTAAGAAAAAAAGATTAAAAGATATGATTTTTTGTCAAAGTATTGTACGAACACATAACATAGACTATAGTTACATATAACACATGAGATAGAGTGGTAGACCATTTAGGGAAAAAATAACAATGACAACAATTAAAAATAGTGAATGAACTAAAGAATAAAGGCAAATTCATAAGAATGATAACATAAATACATACATAATAATTAATTAACCAACGGGTAGTACTATATTCATGAATCCCTCATAAGTCATCATTCAAAAATTAAAGGCAGTTGAATCCATATATATCATCATCAAGCTTTAAAGAAAATCACTCACACTACAACAAAAAGAGTCATTCGCAACATTAAAAATGCAACATTTGTTGATAAATGTTGCTAAAAGGGTCTTTTGGCAACATTTTAGTAAGTGAATGTTGCCATTGGTTAGTAT